CACATTTGAATGTTGGTTTTATTTGATTCATACCCATGCCTGCCTCTTGCTCCCCAATATCTCTGAGTAAGTTGAGACATAGCAGCATTAAGGGAACAAGGCTAGCACACATCAGCTTATAAGCCTAAGTTAGGTGTCAGGGAAGTTTATTTCTTGTCTGTGGGGCTCTGATATCAAGAGAGGTGATCTAGAAGGCAGAAGTGGGGAAAAGTAGAATTAAAGAGTCAGACATTCTTTCAAACAGACCCCTACTCAGGTGATTCTCAAAAGAGTGAAGGCTGGGGAGGCAGGGTGGGGTGGGGGGGTGTCAGGGTAAGCGAACTGCCAAAGATTTTCATGCCAGTACCTTCAAAGGACAAATGATAATGTAAAAGGGTAAGTGGGAAGCTGAAAGAGTACGCAATGCTGCACTGCTCTTGACTGTCAAAAGAGCCTGAGAACTATCTTGAACTCATCCTGTACCTTTTCAACACATTTGTATATGGCTTTTATCTACCAAGTTTCTTCCAAGCTTTTTCATGTCTTGACACACAGTAAAATTTGATAATAAAAGATGAAAGGAAGGATAAAAGTATGTGTTCTTGGTTGGAGGTGGCCAGTCTTGGGCTCTAGCTGCCCCAGACCCAAAGACTGAGAGGATTGATAACTCTGACACCTATAACCCATTCATGGTTCAGTTGGGAAGCAGATCTGCTCATTTCTTTCTTCTTCTTTGCCAGATCTCAGTCCATATACTAGCCATGCCCTACTTCCTCATCATCTAAGAATAATTTTATGTTTAATATTCTGTTCTTATATTAACCTTCTCATATTTGCATTAGAACTTTAAGACACTGGAGCTTCTTAAACTTCATAATTCCCCTTAATATGCTCATTACATCTTTTTCCCTTCTGAAAACATGTATCATCTTTTTTTCACTTTCCCCCTCTCATTTTAATTTACTATCTCTGTAATACTTTTTGTTTTCTTTTCCATTAGACATGATATACTAACTTCTTTAGGATGCTTTACCTAAATGTAAGAAAATTCTTTACCTGTTCTCCCTAGTGTTTTAATTATGATAGCTAAAATGTTACATATAAAAAGAAATATATATGTAATGTTTTCATTTTGGTGCTATACCATATCTCTCCATATGTTATTTTTTAATGTTTTTAAAAAAAAAGTTTATTGTTTGAAAATGGGATCCAGATATGAGCTTTAAACTTTAAATAAATTACTTCTTCATATTTTATATTCTGTTTTATCATAAAAATTTCTGCAGGACAGAGAACTTCTATTTAAATAGGTTTTTTGTGCTCTATTGTGCAGCATATTTTAGAATACTTTGATATTAATCCAGTAAGTTTTAGGCTGGTGGAGGAGACGATTCATGTATACTAATAGCCATTATTGAAAATAGAAAGTAGTAAAAGCCTTAGGGTTAGTTGTCTCTCCTTGTGCTTTCATCATAACCTGTACATATCTCTTTATAGCAATTACACCATATTATTATTGCTTCTATATTTATCTTTGATAGAGCCTATCATGGACTAGAACAGTGGTTGTTAATAGATGTGGGACTGGTAACAGACAGGGCTTGTGCATTTTGGAAGAAACTTCCCCATCACACACCCCACCACCATCAGTATTGCCACTCTTCTTTTGAAAACTTCTGTACTCGTTTTTTAACTCTTCAAAGATTGAGAACTATATCTTATTTGTCACTTTATCTCGTGCTTACCTTTTTTTTTTTTTTGGCACCTGTTCCTGCAGGAAGGTAAAACTGGAAGTTTAGAGGTGGAAAGATCACTTATGACTTGGAAAAGCATGTACGACTTTAAAAAGGACCATTTGTGAGGAACTATGAAAAGAAATGAGAAATTGTTTTATGAAAGTAAATGAGATTATATTGCAGATAAGAAGTAACAAACAAAAACACAGAGGGAAGAATGTATGGGACATATTTCAGGAATACTTAGGTAAAAACCATAGAGTGTGAAGTGTGAAAAAGCTTAGTGAATTTGACTGTGTTTAGTCAAATACACTTGGACACCAGTGTATGGAACTCGAACTATTGTAGGTGGTAGGTAACCATTGAAAATTTTTGGTTGTGGTGTAACTTGATCCACCTGTCAGCAACTTGAAACATCTGTTAGTGTATAAGTAAAATTATGCTTAGAAAGAGGAGACAAGGGGATCAGTTAAAATTAGAACATTCGGTACAATTATAATCTAAATTAGAATGACAGTGAAGAAATGAGGGAGTTGATGCAAGAGATATTTTAAAGGTAAAATCAACATACTTTGGCCTCTATTTTTTAAAAATCACATTGTTCACTTTTAAGTTGTTACTGTATCCCTAATAAAAAGATAGTGCTGCCAGGCTCGGTGGCTCAGCCTATAATCCCGCGCCTTGGGAGGCTGAGGTGAGTGGATTGCCTGAGCCCGCGGGTTCGAGACCCGCCTGGGCAACTTGGTGAGACCTCATCTCTACAATAAGTCAAAAATTAGCCGGGTGTGGTAGCGTGCGCCTGTAGTTCCAGCTACTCGGAAGGCTGAGGCGGAAGGATCACCAGAGCCCAACAGGTCGAGGCTGCGGTGGCCGGGAGCGGCCACTGCACTCCAGTCTGGGCGACAGAGTGAGAATCCAC